GCTAAAGTCGTTATCATAGTCCTTTCAGGTTAGCGCAAGGGGCTTTCCTTGCCACATTTATAATGCTATAACATTATGCCTCGAGATTCGCTCACAACCGAGAACCCAAATAAAGCCCACCTAAGCACCTTACTCTGAAATAAAGAAGAAACTTCCAGACATGTAATACCAATGCCATTCCAAAGGCTTAGTCTCGCACAGCATTACAACAAAACAGTTTGTCAACTACATCTAACTGTTGTTTCGTCGGCGAACTATAAACAACAAAATCAAGAAAACACAACTGCACCAACATGACCCAGTTATTCAGTCGTACCTCACTTATTTTTTTTTCAGTGTCCAGAACTCGCCATCAAAACCGTTGGCCAACTGTTTTGCAGTCGTGCGGTACTGGGTAATCCTACGGGTTCCATCTTTTGTCGGGAGGAAGAAAATCGGTCGAGTCGTGACCGTCTTGTGTGTGCACCAGTTCGGACAAGACACGTCTAATTTGTTGGCCTACTGGCCGTATTATTTCACATACTGTGTCCCAAGGCTGTGTCCTCGGTACAGGGCTTTTAAATAGTCGAGGTCAATGAACCGAAGGCGGGAAAAGAAATGAATGGGTTTTTTAACGAAAATTGGTAAAATTGTTAATATGCATTTAAACCAGGTGGTTTGCGCGTAGACTTTGTACATTTTGAGGTGCTGATTACGAATACAACATTAGCATTTTAATCCGAACTCATTAGCAGTTGACACAACCAAACGGACTTTTCACTGATTTCTTAGGAAATAGACATTAGAGCAAAGAATTACAACATGTGAAATGCGATGCCTTAGAAAAGCAGTAAACAAGACCAGGCGAGACAAAATTAGAAACTCTGTAATCCAAAAAATGGTGGGCACAAATGATGTCATGCATCACATCCAACACCAAAGAATCAAATGGTTCGGACATCTCCTACGATTGCCAACACACCATCCAGCACAACGTGCCTACATCCAAAAATTCGATGGCAACAAGGCTAGAGGGCGACCGAGAAAGACCTGGATAGATGGAGTCAGGGAAACATTAACCACCCACGGCATCCGCCCTGATCCGAGCTCTCCGGTTGGGGACAGGGAGACGTCTCTTTCTTCCCGCGACACCCAAAAGGGTATAACCGGCGGATAAAAGTAAAAGTAAAGTAAATCCGAACTCAAAATTAGATTTTTTCAAAGCTCCGGTGGGGACTATGGCTCATGAGTCACGACCTGGCCAGGCTAAAATTGAGCAAGCGACTTTCCAACCGACACGTCTTTTGTCGGGGCGTGTCGTGTCGTGTCTGTTGACACAACCAAACGGTCTTTTCTCTGATTTCTTAGGAAATAAACGGCGCTCCATTTCAACCACCGACTTTCCGAGAGACGGACAGAATCGGGTCGGTTGGTGTCCGTTGCAGTGGACACGGGCCCTAAAGAAATGTTCGGACGTGTCTGTGAAGAGAAGGAATACAAATTCACTCTTTAAGGACACATCCGTCCGACCAACAGCAGACCAAAGTCAATGTTTCAGCACATTTCGAACGGCCACACTCGAATTAGAAACACTCATTTATCATAATCATGATGTTGCCAATCGATCTTTTAAACTTTCAGGTAAAGAAAACAGATAGGAAAAATCTTCGTGATTAACGAAGTTAGGCTCCTTTTTAACTGCTCTCAAAACAGTTTTTTTTTAGTAGCGTTGTAGAAAATGCGCCCTGAAAGAGTTAAAACTTCTTTTGTCGACTATGGCACAGTGGAGAACACTATGTTATAATAATCGTATTTCAAACAGCGGAGTGCCGGCATCTGTGCTGTCGTGGTTAGGCGCTTTGCTATCGCACGCAGGAGACTCGAGTTCGATTCTCGAATGAGGAGAACATCTTTATCGAGTGTCTCGTTCTTTATGCTGGGATGCTGTATCCCTCTCAGCCCCGGCTGGCCCTGACTGGCCGAGTCAGAAGCCCGCCTCCTATATGATCGAAATTGTGTCGATGAAGAGTGTAAAATACGTGCATTAAAAAAATCCAACTCGTTACAATTTACCACAGAGCGTCACTGGTCAACCATTGTGGTGTTAACTTCAGGCTCTTCGCCATTTCATGCTGAAGACGTTCGTTTAATTTCTGTGTGAGGAAATCTATTCTGTCGAGCATCTCCGTTGCTCTGTCGGGATTTGTCCGGACAAGCAGAGTCAATTACACAGCCTATCTCTTCATCCATCATCACTGCCTTCCTGACCCTGCATCAGAGTTCATATAGGCCACGAACAGACATTTTTCATCTTTCCCTATCCCGGGCAAGCCATGTCTTTCCACTTTCTTTTCAGGTCATCGTTCTCTGTGACTCTTCTCCAGGTTCCACACAGCCTTCCCCATGATCTTTTACCGTGTGGATTAGCCCGCCTCCAAAATATTATGTAGCGACGGACTCATCATAAAACGTTTACATTCATTTGAGAACAGTACCTCCATTCAAAATGAAACTAAGCATTCTTCTTGTTACATGTATTATTTTTTGGCGGTCTGTAGCCTAATGGTTACGCTGCCAGACTTGTAATCGTCAGCTCGGTCTGCAGTTGTGTCCTTCGGAAAGGCACTTTACAAGAATTTTCACACTTGGCTCGGTCCTTGCGGAGATGGACGTTAAACTCGGAGGTCCCGCCTCTTAAATAAACTAACAGTGTAGATAAGGGTGTTAAACCTTTACCATTTCACCATTTTTTGTCAATTTTGTTCCTTTTGTCCCTCGTGTTCTTCTTTCATCTTCTTCTCTACTCTAACCCCCCCCCCCCACCTTCCGACCCTCTCACCCCATCTTGGTATCACTTGAAAAAGCGTTAATAATACTCCATTATTTCGTTTGCTCGGTCGAAACTCCTTCTCAAGTAGGACGTCTCTAAAACAACTCAACTAGTCTCCCTGCAAAAAGGTGGTTTCTTTTTTTTTCTATTCGCACAATGTCTATTGAATGTCTTTTTGAACGATTGATTTCAGGGATCTCGGTGCAGTGTAAGTTCATCATGACTAGTTTCAGTATTAATAGATTTTCACTAAAATAGATTTTCGTCTACACAAAGAATGGCACAATATTGGCAATTTAGCACTGCGTGAAAACAAGAGAGACAGAAACAGCAAAAGGAGTAGAGAAGAATATGAACTGTATATGGCTTCCTCCAGCACACAAACACTTGCAGGTGGATGGCGAGCTGCCATGTAGAGTGCCTATAGATAGATAGACAGATAGATAGATAGATAGATATATAGATAGAGACAGACAGACACACACACACACACACACACACACATACACACGCACACATACACACAGACAGAGCGAGAGCAAAAGAGAGAGATGAAGAGAGAAAGAGAGAGAGAGAGAGAGAGAGAGAGAGAGAGAGAGAGAGAGAGAGAGACACACACACACACACACACACACACACACACACACACACACACACACACACTCACATACACACACAGACAGAAAGAGAGGGAAAGAGAGAGATAGAGAGAGAAAGAGAGAGAGACAAAAGAGAGAGAGAGTGAGAGAGACACACACACGCACGCGCACACACACACACACACACACACACACACACACACACACACACACACACACAGAGCGAGAGCGAAAGAGAGAGAGAGAGAGAGAGAGAGAGAGAGAGAGAGAGAGAGAGAGAGAGAGAGAGAGAGAGAGAGAGAGAGAGGGAGGGGGGAGGATGCTAAACATTTCATGTATTATTTTGTTTAAACTTTGATACTCGCTGCTCTCATTTCAATGACCCCCCCCTTTCAAAAAAGCAACAAAAAAAGCAAAAAAATAAAATAATCAAAAATGAAAATAAAAAACAAAAACAAAATAAACAAAATCCACCCCCTAAAAAACAACAACAAAAAACAAAACAACTGCAACAACAAACCTAACACAATCTCCAGAGGACCTTGTTAATTGTATGCTTTTCATGTTTTAATGTTGCTCCAAAAACTGTAAGGTGAGCTGCAAGGAGTCATATCTGGTGCTGTTTATATGAGCTCCAAACTTATCGAAAGCTGTTAAAGTACATTCTCCCTTTCTAATAAGGAATATAAAACATAAAACAAAGGGGAAAAATCGATACGTTTTTGTTTCAGGGCAACTATCTTTCTTAAATCAAATTTTCTTGTATTATTGTTATATTTCGAGGAACTATGAAAACATTAACACTAACGATAACAATATTGATAATAATAATAATAATTAAAAAATAGCTAAATAATAATAATAATAATAATAATAATGATAATAATAATAATAATAATAATAATGATAATAATTTTAAAAAATAATAATAATGTGACAGCAATATTAAATACAATGTTACTAATGATACAAACTGTACTTCAACTAATACTACTACCTCTACTACTACTAAGAGATGTAATAATAATAACAATAATAATATTTTTATTTAATAATAATAATAATAATAATAATAATAATAATAATAATAATAATAATAATAATAATAACAATAATAATAATATTAAATCATAATAATAATAATAATAATAATAATAAGGATAATACTGTTTTTGAACATTTCCACGAACTCCTTATTGTGCACAATGTAGTTCTTTATTGACAATGATAAAAAAAAGCTGAATTGCAACGAATTTAATGGAGTGAATACAAGCTACTGTTTCTGTTCATGAACAAAGAATCCTTCTTTAGGATCACATTTCTTGGAAATAAGATATATCTTAGATTCAGTGTTCGTTATCATGTTGAACGCCTTCTTATGTAGGACATAAGGCAAATTGTAAAAAAATCTTTTGCCTTCTGTCGTTTGCTTTCTTCGATATATTATATAAAAAGGCTCCTGTCTACTTTCATAATCAGAGCAGTATTTAAAAAATCCGCAGAAAACAACCAAACCTCTGTCATTCTATTTTCTAAACATATTTTCTTATCTTGTGATACTTAATAAACTATGGTATATTTGGCATCCCCAGGACCACAGACAAAACAGTCTCAGAACTCATACATACAGGCCCTCCAGCAACTACAGAGACAGTTTAAAACTCTGTACAACCCACCCAACCCCTCAGGTTTTCCTCCTATGAAGCGACCGTTCCCCAGCCCCGCATGGCCTCCAAAGTCCGGCCCCCAACAACAGCGCTTCCCTCCGTCTCCTCAAGGAGCCCAGCTCCCAGCAGCTTTTAACCAAAGTCCGCAGGCGCCTGGCCCAGCACCACAGAGGCGTATCCCTCCCATGCAGCCTCCCCCACAGCGCATGCCGTCAGCGCCCCTGGTTCAGAGACAGCAGCCTCCGCCTATGAGATCTCCGCAGTCTCTCCTTCAACAACCACCACGGCCACTACCTTCACGCCAACCGCCTCCAAGACAAGGCCCTCCGCCTACCAATAGAGCACCACAATCACCTTTCGGACCACCTAACAACAACAACAACAACAACAACATCATCATCAACAGCAGACCACCAGCCCCACCACAAAGACAGCCACCGTCACTTCTACCAGCACGTCAACCGATTCAGAGACCAGGTCCCCCGCCTACCAACTCAGCACCACGCTCACCGTTTGGACCACCGAACAACAACAACAACATCAACAACAACAGACCACCACCACCACTAAGGCAACCACCACCACCAAGACAACCACCTCCACCGGCACGCCAGCCCCCTCCGAGACAAGCCCCACCACCTACCAACCGAGCCCCTCAACCGCCATTTGGACCTCCCAACAATAACAACATCAACAACAGACCACCACCACCACCACAAAGACAACCACCACCACCAAGACAACCACCACCACCAAGACAACCCCCACCACTAAGACAACCACCACCACCTCAGAGACAACCACCTCAGAGACAACCACCTCAAAGACAACCACCACCACCAGCACGTCAGCCCCCTCCTCCCAGACAAGCCCCTCCCCCCACTAACCCAGCTCCACAATCACCGTTTAGTCCTCCCATTAACAATGCCAACAGACCACCACCATCGTCTTTCAACTCCCCACCGCGAACAAACCACTACATCCCGCATAGATTTATGTAAGTCCACGAGGAATCAATCGTAATCTATGCCATTTTTTCCTGTTTTATTTCAAAGCATTTCAGATAAATCGCTACCTCAGAATTGCAAAGCTCTATCTGCTCAGTACTTAGTTGCTGCCCTAGAATTACCTAATTCTGTCAGCTCAATATCTAGTTTTGAGAAATTTGACGTCAAAATGTGTGAGTTTCACAACGTGTCAAGCTTTTCCGAATGCAATTCCTTTAATATTTGATAACCACCCCGAAATATCTTACAATTCTGATAGACCAGACCAAACGTTTGGTTTCTGACGTCATGGTCCTAGTAACCCCCCAAAAAAACGGCCAAAAATGTCAGATAGAACTTTGTAATTCTGAGGTAGGCCTCTAGCGTAGTTCTAAGAAATTTGACGGAGCAAATTTTGAGTTTCACAATATCTCAAGCTTTTTCGAAAGCAATTCTTTGGACACCTCGATAACAACTCAGAATAATCTTACGATTTTGATATAGCAGATAGAGCAAATTATTACATGTATTATGCTTTCCGACCTAATGGTCCATGTAACTCAAAACGGCCTCAAACGTCAGCTAGAATTTTGTAATTCTGAGCTAGCGAAATACTGACGTACAGTTTTTGACCCTACTTATGATAATAATTGCACTCTATCACATGATAAAATCGATTCTTCAAATAATAATTGCCATTCTAATTTCAGAATAGTATCTTATAGTAATCTGAATGGCAATTAATTATTATTGGAAGTATCAATTCGGTGATAGATCAGGGTTATA